AAAGCTCAGCAACAATAATGAAAAGGTAAGGGGATAAGGGATCCCCTTGCCTAATACCTCTAGAAGGAGCCACATAGCCACTGAGAGAACCATTGATTTTAAAGGAGAAAGTAGCAGAAGAGACACAAATCATGATCAGCTTTACAAAATCCATATGAAAACCCATTTGCAACATGATCTTCTTCAAACATAACCATTCCACACGATCAAAAGCTTTAATTAAATCCAGTTTCAAAGCCATGAAAAAATTAGGGTCAGAGGAGTGCCTATTTAGAAAATGAAAGGCTTCTTGGGCAATGATCACATTATCAACAAGTTGTCTACCCTCTACAAAGGCAGCTTGATATGAACTGATGCAGCTTGACAAGAAATTCTTGAGTCTTAGAGCCAGAATCTTAGATATTATTTTGTAAATCACACTGCATAAACTTATAGGTCGAAACTGCCCCAATGAATCAGGATTTGGACATTTTGGAATAAGAGAGATCACTGTATGATTCCAGTACTTGAGGATTTTACCTGAGCTGAAAAAGCTTGCCACTGCTGCTAGAATGTCTTGCTTAATAAGAGGCCAGAAATGCTGGTAGAAGGCTGCAGTCATCCCGTCTTCTCCTGGAGATTTGTCTGGATGTAGACTGAATAAAGAGTTCTTGACCTCCTCTTCTTCAACAGGTTTGAGCAAGTCTTGGTTCATGTCAGTAGTGATTGAAGTGGGGATGAGAGGAAGAATGGATTCCCCACCCCAACAACCCTCAGAGGAGAACAAGTTTGAGTAAAACTCCTCAATATGCTTCTCAATTTCCTTTTGAGTGATGAAAATGTGGCCTTGTTGAGAAACCAGCCTGGTGATAGCGTTGTATCTCCTTTTTTGCATTGTAAGATTGTGGAAGAACCTAGTGTTTGCATCTCCATCCTTCAACCATTTAGATTTAGCCTTTTGCTGCCAGTACAATTCTTCTTGCCTGTGGGCCTGGTTCAGAGATCTTCTGGTTGACTCCCATTCCTCCCAATTGATGGCTGCCTTATTCTGATTCAGAGACTCAAGCTTTGCATTGAGAGCAGCAATGGTTTTCTGACCTTCAGTGTGGAAAAAGGAGCTCCGTTTTAGCAGGGCTAATCTGGTGATCTTAACTTTCTCTTTGAGCTGGAAAAAAGGAGTGCAATGAACCTCAGAAATCCAAGCTTGCTTTACTACTTCTTCACATCCCTCCCTAGTTAACCACCTCTTATCACAGTGGAAGGTAGCTCTTATCCTCTCTCTTGGCAGTCCCAGATTGAGAACCAGGGCAGAGTGGTCAGATGCACTTTTAATAAGATTTGTGACAGTTGCATTTGGGTGCTGCTGGTTCCAGTCCATAGAGCCAAATGCTCTATCCAATTTTTCTTCCACTAAGTCAGGAATTGCTCTGTTGTTACTCCAGGTAAATGGAGGTCCTAACATTTTGATCTCCTCCATAACCATTCCTCTGATGAAACTTGTGAACCCAGAGAAAGAATTGGGAGTTCTGAGGTTGCCTCCTAGTTTGTCCCCAAAATACATCTACCTTCATCTAAATTATAAAAATCCAAAATGATATATTATAATTAAATTAATATTATCTATAAAATTATTTAAAGTTTACATTTATGAAATTCATAATTTAAAAAGATATTTGTGAAACTTGTAATGACGTTTTAAAGAATTTGATACTTTACTTTTGAACTATTTCACATTCTCACTAGTAGAAAAAATATTTTTTAAATCGGGTAAAAAACTTGATCATTACATCAGTTGGAAACACTT